AAAAATGTGGTCGGAAAATGTAAGTTTGGCATCCAATAGGACACCTAAGTCGTCTACTAGCTTAATTCTATCTAGGGTTACACCACAAAGTGTATAAGTGGATATTAACGGCTTAGAGCGACTGAAGGTCATTACTTTACACTTAGAGCCGTTAAGATTTAATAAGTTTGCAGAGCACCAAAATTGAAAGTTGTTAAGGTCAGATTGTAGTTTTCTCTGGTAGCACGCATCATTATATTGAATACAAAGTTTCACATCATCTGCGTACATTAAAATAAAAGAATTTGTTAAAGCGATTGGAAGGTCATTTATGAATAATGTGAAAAATAGCGGACCTAAATGGCTTCCCTGAGGGACACCGGATGAAGCATAAATCGGACCAGACAAGACATCTTTAAATAAAACACGTTGCGTTCTACCAGTCAGATAACTTTCAACCCACTTAAGAAGATCGCATGGGAATCCGATTAAGTCAAGTTTATGAACTAAAAGTGAGTGATTTACAGAGTCAAATGCTTTACTAAAGTCAGTGTAGATGACATCTGTCTGAAGACTTTTTCGGAACCCAGTAATTACATAAGAAGTAAATTCAAGCAAGTTTGTAGTTGTAGACCGTCAAGCCATAAAACCATGTTGATATGGAGATATTATTGATCTACACTGGTGTTGCAAATGAGGCACAATAAGTTCTACGTATGCTTTTTGAAATGTAAGAAAATCTTCTTCGTTATAGAAGTAAATTTCACTATTTTTAGTACATAAGTATTCTTTGATTATATCTTTTGCAAATTCTTCGGTCATTTCTTTGTAGTTAATCTTTATTTTTAATTTATGATAATAATGTTTGACTTCTGTTGAATTTTCGTTTCTTTTTAGTAACTCAATTTGTCTTGAGAAGTAATTAAGTGGTTTTTCGGAAATTGCAATGTAATTTGAGTTATCTTCCTTAGCGCTGTGTATGGTTTGAGTCATTGTCTACTTCTCCGAACATATTCTCTTCGATTTTAGTTCGAGACAGAGCGTCTGCTACGTGATTTTCTTTTCCTGGGAGATACTTGATTTTATAATCAAATTCGTTTAGCTTTATTTTCCAGCGTTGTAATTTCATGTTTGGTTCTTTAATGTTATTTAACCAAACAAGGGTTTATGATCGCTAAGTATTTCAAAAGGTCTTCCCAATAAATAAGATCTAAAATATTTTGTTGCCCAAACGATTGCTAAAACTTTTAGCATAATTAACTTTTTTTAAAGTCACTTGATAAATATGGTTTGTGATTTGGATACAGCTCCAATTGCTTTTTTGCATCCGTTGTTAGAGAAAATGTTTTACTAAAGTCGGGGTAAACTAGTATTGGGTCTGAAGTAATAAGTACTTTTAGTTTTTCGAACGATTCTATATAATTTTTACACTTTGTATCTATTACTGCTCCTTTTTTTATTGTCATTGTGTCATTGGTTTTTTTACATTTGCGAAATTAGGAATGAATTTTCGATAGAAACCGCATATTCCCAAAAATGACTTTATTTGTTTTGGAGTCTTAGGTAATGGAAAATTAGTTATGGCACTTGTTTTATTAGGGTTAGGTTTTATACCATTTGTTGTTACAACATGTCCTAAAAATTCTGTTTCTTTCTTTAGGAATTCACATTTATCCAACTGTAGCTTTAGATTTGCATTCCTTAGTTTTTCAAAAACCTTCTTTAGAGACAAGATGTGTTCTTCCAATGAAGTGGAAAAAATTATAATGTCGTCTAAATATACTAAACAATCTTTATAGATTAAATCTTCTAAAAGATTATTCATACACCTTTGAAATGTCGCGGGTGCATTTTTAAGACCGAATGGCATACGAGTATATTCGTAGTGACCATGTTTAGTCGAGAATGCTGTTTTAGCTATGGAATTTTTATCCATTTGAATTTGGTGAAAACCTTTGGCTAAATCTATTGTTGTGAAATATTGACATCTGCCAAGTTTATCTAATATTTCATCCATTCTTGGAATGAGGAACTTGTCATTGATCGTTATCTCATTTAAATTTCGACAATCAACGACTAGTCGGAATTTTTGCTTGCCAGAAGCATCGGCTTTTTTGGGGACTACCCAGATGGGTGAACAGTAAGGAGATTTCGACTTACGAATTATTCCCTGTTCAATCATCTCTTTTATTTGTTTGTTAACTTCGTCGTCAACACTTTGAGTGTATTTATAGGGTTTGCGATAAACCGGATCCTCGTGTTGTGTTTGGATCGAATGTTTTATTGTACTAGTAAAGGTCAAATTTTCGCCTTCTCTGTACTGGATATCACTATATTCATATAGGATCCTTTTTAGACTTTGGATTTCTTCACTGTGTAAGTGTTCTAACCTGAACTCATTACATTCTCTTAGTTCATTTTCAATGGCAAAATTGACTGATTGATCTTCCGTGGAAGGCGGAGTAAAGCATTTTGATGCGGTCTTCTCCTTATTAATGTCATCATGCATGAATTTATAAGATTTTGAACCGAGTGTAATTGTTTCGTTTTCGTAATTTATTATGGCTTTAGCTGCCTTTAAATATGGTCTGCCTAGCAAAATATCATACTGATTTGAAAATTTGTGTAAATAAAATTTCTGTTCAGACGAGCATACTGCAGATGGTTCTATTATAACGCTTTTATTTAATTCAACCTGTCCTCTAATAGTGTGTACTATTAAGTTTTCTTTTTTTTCTTTTAATTTAGCAAAATTACTATTCATAATGTTGATAGACAAGCCTGTGTCTATCATTCCTTTGTAAAATTTATTTTTAAATTTTAACTTTACATATGGATGCTTTGTTCTATCTCCGAGGCTGTTTGATGAAAATTTACTTCCATTTGGCTTTGCTCACTTTGACTTTGCCTCTGTCTTTTTACTGGGGCATTTGGAACAGTTTTTGATTTATAAGAGGTTGAAGGTTGGACGTTTAAGGGATTTTGCTGTCTTCCCTGATTTAGGTCATTCTTAAGAGTATGATAATTCCAAGTTTGATCTACTTTGATTCTGTGAATTCTGAGAATTTGAAGGGTAAAATGAATTGTAACCTTTTTGATTATAATATTTCTGATTATTTCCCTTATTTTTGTATCCTTTATTTTTATAATTGTTCTTATTTCGGGAAAATTTCTCTTCGGGGTTTAAGTCATATAATCCTAACTCCATAGTGGCTTGTTTTAGTTTAGGGATAGTTGTTATATCTTTTCTAGCTAGTGTCATGTAGATTCTATCAGGAAGTTTTTTATTGATGGTGTTACAAATGGGTTTTTCGAGCATTCTGCGATAATTTATTTTATCAATTGGATCATTTTCTAATTCTAACTATTCATAAATATTACGGCATCTATTTTCCAATGTTTCTATGAACTTACTGGTACTTCCGCGGTATTCGGTGTTTCCAAGATGTTGAATTAGAGTTTCATTAGGGCGGTGATCCTTAAACGATATGGATAAAGCTTCCTTCATGGATGGCCAGTTGCTTGCTCCTGCTTGTGCCACTGTTTCCTGTGCTGAGTCTACTACCAGTCTTCTGATTGCTCCGAATATGACGTGGGCTTGTCTCGCATCTTGTGTTGGGTAGAGTTGTAATAAATATTCCACTTGGTTGATGAACTCGGCTAATCTGCCGGGAGTTCCATCGAAATAGTGTAGTTCTTTCAACTGACTTAGCAACTGATTCAGATGAATCTCTGACAATAGTTGTGGTGTGGTCATCTTTAATGTTGATTTTTTTTTTTATTTCTTCACAAGGTCTTTTAATTTTTCTTTTGAATGTTTTTATTTTACAAAGGTGGTATTTGGTTCTTTGTAAAATATATTTTATTAATTTTGAATTGTTTTGTAAAATTTTATTCACTTGTTAAATGTTTATGTTGTTTCACTTGTGGGGTTTTGGAATGTCTTTGTTGGGTTATTTCTCTTATGAAATGAATTAAAATTCTTTAGTATTTAAGAATTTTAGTAAATGTCTGCGACTATTTTTGGTCACGGTTCTTTTAAGTTTTTATTCACTTTTAAAATTGATTAAAGTTCTTTTGTATTTAAAAACTTTTTGTGATTGTCTGCGGCTACGTTTTAAGTTTTTATTCACTTTTAAAATTGATTAAAATTCTTTTGTATTTTAAAACTTTTTTTGTGAATGTCTGCGGCTACGTTTTGCCACGGTTCTTTAGCGATTAAGGATCGCGATCTTTTGCGGATTTCAATTTACACTCGCTAGTCAAGGTATTAGTCGTATAATATCCTTGGTGATCAGTACCGAATTTAATTTTTTGAAATCCTACCGACTGCGCCAATTAAATGCTTGAATATTCGTAAGTCCAAAAAAATATAATTTTATTTTTATTAAACCGAATTATTACAAGATTCTTTGATTGAGAACACCGACTCGAACAATCTCGTGTCTTGAACTGAACTGAACTTATCTTAAGTCTTAATTTATTATGAAGCCTTGGTTTTGGGCTTTTACAATTATTGTGTTCTCTGAGAGAACTTTCTTATATCTAAGCTTAATTCTCTTGTATTCAAGTTTGATACTCTTGGATACAAGATTTCTCTTTTCAAATGTCCGTAACAGGACTCCTTGATCGTCTATGGAAAATTTTGTTATTAATGTTTAGACTAAGAGTCTGAGTAATAAGACTCTTTTGTTTTTCAGTCGCAGTGTGGGAAAGAATTTCGGTCTGCGATCTGTCTGTGTTTAGATAAAAGGTTTGGTAATCTTCCATGTCTGTGTTTAGATAAAAGGGTTTGGTAATTTTCCATATTCGATTAAGCTTACATAGAAAATATTACTTATGATTAAGTGGAGGTGACGAGGTTATTGTAGATATGTCACTATATATATTTCCAATATACATATACTTCGCATTCGTAGCGAAAGTTGTCAGTTACGTCTATATTAATAATAAATGTTAATGTAAAGAGTTTGTTTTGATCTTTCTTTTTTTTTCTTTTTTGGGTATTTGTATCCCTGCAGGCTTACAAAAACACAACTGCCACACGTCGAGAAAAACTTTAATCTGCGAGCAGCTATGCTTCATGTGATTGGGGATCTGGTGCAAAGTATTGGCGTTTTCCTGGCCGCCATCTTAATAAAATTTTACGTGAGTTTATTCTGTTGCAAAATTGTTGTATGTTTTCACATAAAAATATTCTTAAAATATAATGATATTAGATAAAAAAATTGACATCTATCCTCGTCTTTTAGTAATCAGACTCAATTTATTGCCATCATGTTTATTAGCGCGAAAGCAAAAGTTAATAGAAGGGGAAGTTAAAACATTTGCGCAAATAATAGTATATATGGAATAAGATAAAATTATTACGGTGGGAATATTCTCCTTTTGCTACTGGCCATGGTTATCTTTCTGTTAAAAGAGACCAGGCGTTTTCTTTAATATTTAGAGGCAAAATTTAAATTGGCCAATCCAAACATTTACCACCATCGTTCTTTGAACATTAAGTTACGTTCCAATTTTTTTCGCACTGGGGGTTGTCATGCTAAAGAATGAAGGATACTCCGATAAGCCTATCTCCAAAAAGAAACGAATAATAAAGTTAAATTCGTCAAATATTTTCACTGGTTCATTGCAATAACTGAGTCATAGACTCTATTATACGACGTGTAGCCCAAGAACAAACCTAAGGCCCCACCATGAATTACATTTTGGAAAACGAGTCCTTTCTTTTGCCATACTACCTTCGGCTTGTGAAAATGTTTTTATTAAAACAATTAATCTTGTTAAGCTTCAAAATATAATATATGGAACGTCCTTGGCTTCTATCAGGCTCTTCTTTCAAACGTCGTTAACCTCACTGATTGCCGTCAAATTGCTTTGATCTGGAGAACAAGGCTTTCTTTAAGAATGAAGATTGTTAAAAAATCAATAATTTAAAATCAGTTAATTTTGTAATTATCATTATTAACTATTTAATTTTTCTGACCTAGAGCTTCACATTTATTTACTATTATTTTAACCACTCAGTTAAATTTCGGCGGTCAAAGCCAACGTTTGTGCGATTTTTGGCTCTCTAAAACCCTAAACCTTCGTTTTTCGAAAACAAACTCTCCCGAGACTATAAATATAAATCTAATCAGCAACCAAATCTGGGACAAGTGCTCCTCTAATGGACTAAGAAACCGTCGCGTGTCTAAATCAAGCGAAGCAATGCTTTTAGCACATAAGTATTTTAGGATCATCCCGAACACATAGCCTTATCTCGCTGTTGTCTTAAAAACACAGCGCTAGTACAAAAGCATTTTTAGATAACGCTGGAGCCCTACAAACTCAGCATTAGTTTAGGTTTAGAAATGAATAAAAGCAGAGCAGCTTCTCACAAACGGAGTAGTACAACCAACATCGTCAATGCGTTTGGATTGAACTCGCTGACAAGTGCTACAGTATATGTTCTCCACGTAATAGTGTAAACATTTTGGTCCTTCGAGTAAAAAATCCTACAAGTATACCAATTGAAGCGTTTCTGTGGCTTTAAAAGAAGCAGAAAGCAAAAAGTGAAAATTGAACAAATTTGTGAAATTTGTTTAACATTTTTTAGCTAACCACAACAAGTTGTGGGTCGAGGCACAGCACGATACTAAGAACGAACCAAAAACACCTCCATCGGGTTAAGCCAAATAAAGTACAATAACTTAAATTAACACCAACTAGATGCTGTCTGAGAAAACAATGGATTTGCTGAAGAGGCAATTGGTGCCTCGTCAAGAGATCTTGCAAGGGATAGCCAAAAAGGCAAACCCATCAGCTATAGATGATTCGGCAGCCAAATTCACTGCGAATCACACAATGCTGACCAAAAATGTCGTCATTAATCACGAATATTTTAATGACAAAATATACGACAACACCATGGCACTTATCAAGAAATATAAAGAGTCTCTGATGAATGTCGAAGTTGCCAATAACAACAATATGTTTAGATGACCTCGAACGCTTCTGGGAACTAGAAGAGGAAACCAATGAGACGGAGAAAGCATCAGATGTGGACAACTACGACTTGGGATAAAGAAGGCCGCCTCATTGTCTTCACATGGAGGAAAAATTTTGAAAACAACCGCAAATCTTCACTGAAGACAGTACCTTCATGAAAAAGTACTTGGCCACACCAAGCAGTCATCAGACCCAATACCCAAAACTTTGAGTAGTTTTGGATGCTTCAGACAAAACATCCAATGGATTAAGCATAAATGATGTAATGTTAGTTGGCTCTAAAATTCAAAAGGACACCTTTGATATTTTGTTAAAATGGTGACAATGGCAGTATGAAATGACAGCTGACATTGAAAAAATGTATCGACAAATCAAGATTGCAAAAGCGGACCAGGAGTACCAGTATATCCTCTGGAGATAAAACCCAGATACGCCAGTCAAGGAGTTCAAGCTGACAACATTGACTTACGGAACTTCAGCCGCACCGTTTCTAGCCGTCCGTTGCCTACAGGAACTGGCAAGCCAATTTTGCCAAGACAACTATCCCTTGCTAAGAACAATTAAAGAAGATTTTTACATGGACGATCTCATTACTGGTGGTAGCACAATCGGTGAATGCATTAGGATACAAACACAGCTAGGGAACATAATTGAAAAGGCTGGCATGAACTTACGAAAAAGGGAGTCAAACGATGACAAAATAATCGTTGGAATTAAAGACGGCAATGCAGTTGAAAAAATATCAATTAGTGAAGACTAATCACTGAAAACCCTTGCCCTGCAATGGCATCCAAAGAAGGTTGTGTTCACATTTTCAGTTGACTGTCCAAAATTAGATCACATTACAAAGCTTAAAATTTTGTTTCAACTAGCAAGAATTTTCGATCCACTAGGATGGTTGACACACGTTACATTACAGGGTAAATGATTCATTCAGGAGCAATGGAAACTGCCAAAAGGGCATCAGGCAAAGTGACAATTCTCAGCATACTCATGAATCTGCAAATAGCAAGTGGTGCTATGATATCGAATATGAACTCATCAAGAGTCAAGAGGCACTATATAGACCAACAAACAGTAGTACTAATGGACATAATCAGAAATGCTCTCATCGAATTGGCAGTTACTACTTTACTATGATATGGAAGCTTACATCGAAGTCCTAAAGCAAACAGATGAAGTAATGGAAAAAACAGACACCATTTGTTCATTAAAATGCGAATAGATAACATTAAGAAAAAAAACAATAGGAAACGCTTTAGTCGAGTGCTTCGACTATACTGTTATAGTCTATACCGTTACTATTTTACACAATTTTAAAATATTAATTTTGCTATTGGAAATTCCCACAGCGCCACCTATTATCAGAGAAAGCATGTTGAGTAACTGATAGTGACGTCACTGCCCATATGAGGCTTTATAACCTAAATTTTTTTATAAATAGCGAAATAATATTCAGGTTTGAAAAATCTTTGGTAAATCGATAGAGATTGACAAAAATAAATTATACAACGTCGAACGAAGACATACACTATAATATTATGGATTCCACAGTTTTCCGCGGCTTGTGGGCGGTAGAGTGGGCGTGGCCGGATGAGAACTAGAGGCAAGTTGAAGTGGGATCTTTTAAATATGTTTCTCATCTCAAGATTGAGATTTCAGCGATTATAGTTTTTTGTGATTTGTGGGTGTTTGAGTGGGCGTGGAAGGATGCTGAAATAAACTTGCGCCGCGTAGGGACCTCAAGAATCTTCATGCTCAACTTTGTATCTGTTATAGTTCCTGAGATATTAGCGTTCATACGGACGGACGGACAGACGGACATGGCTCAATCGACTTCTCCCTTTTACTCTACGAGTAACGGGAATAATAAAATCATCACACAGAAATCGAAAAGACAAAGAAGGTTCATCCTGTTTTTTGACATTGTCACTGCAAACAGGGTCAAAAAAAAACATGCAAACTATCATTCGAAATGAGAAGCGATTAAATGATTATATGATTAGTCAGACCTCAATGTGACGTCGGATTTAGTACGCTATACTACAGAAGAGGTAAACAGAAACTTCGAAAAATTTATACTGGAATTAAAAAAGATGGAGTAAACAATGAGAAACCACTTCTTAAATTCTTCATGTTAATTAATCAGATACGAAACTGGATTGAAGAAGCAGACGGTCTCCAATCAGGAGCAATTCCCCTTTTAACAGACGTTCATCAAGAAAAAGTCAAACCTCTGATCAAACCAAATAAAATGTTGGCCAAACTGGATGTGAAATTCAGCAAAAACCAACCAAGAAACCAACTAGAAAATTCGGTGGAAAAATTGCAATTGATTTATAAATTAATGAAGGCACAAGCAATATTTAAGGATAACTTGTTAGTCATCGACGCAAGACTACCCATTTATGCAAATCAATATGCAATTAACTTTAAAACGATTCCAGTACCACTCAAGCTCAATGGGAGAAAAATAATTTTAGAAATTAAAACGGAATTTATTATCTTCAACAATGAAATCAACGCCTAACACCCAATGAGAGAGATTGAAGTAAGTCACTGTCTTCACGAAGATGAGGATGTGAAGGAAGTTGGGTCTGGAAAGATGCAAATAACCAGAGCTGTGAAATATCACCTATCAAGCCGGACAACAAACAAACATGTAAAATGATCGAGTATATAAAAAATACATTTCTGAAAAATCTAAATGGAAAAAACCCGTGGCTGTTCAAGATATTTACGAATACGTCTGCTAACATAACATGCGGGAGCAACCAAGAAGTGATACTGATACCTAACCAAGGCATAATAGACATACCTATAGGATGTTCAGCAAGGATTGGTCAAATTGCCATCATAACACCACAAGAAGTAAGGTCAACAGATGCTGAAAGATACCCAGAGTCAAAATGACTTGTGGATGCCAACACCACTTCCGAACGTTGAAGTTAATAACTCAATAGAGCTACAACACTTACAACAAAACATAACATTACAATTAGGTCACATTACAAAGCTTAAAATTTTGTTTCAACTAGCAAGAATTTTCGATCCACTAGGATGGTTGACACACGTTACATTACAGGGTAAATGATTCATTCAGGAGCAATGGAAACTGCCTCTCACATGGGACGCAGAACTGTACCCTGAACTCG